CTCCTTACAATTGTGAATTGCTTAGGCTGTACTGGCCAGCATGCAGCCTTATACTAGATGGAAGAGAAGATTGAAGAGTTAAGGACTAATGTCTGCCCTACTATGGATGTGTGTAAGCCATTTGATGTAGCAAATCTTTTGAGTGCCTCATCCACTAGTGTGATTCCATGGTCCGGCAGGGGCCCAAGGGTGTAAGCCTAACTCCCAACACCTTTATCCCCTCCTCTCACCCCTTCCAATCGATGGCCGGGTCTGGAGGGGGTGGCCCATCTTGAGGATGGAGCCAGCAACCCTAAGTCTTGGGCGCCCATTTCACCACCATATCTGATGCTATTTAGAAGCACTGTATCACTCCAACCAATGCTTTGAGGGATGACTTATTTGCCTTCATAAGGACTCTTAGGTTGTCTGCAAATAAAGAGTTTTTAAGGGTAAGGTGGCTATGGGAGTTAGGTGACCGTTGACCATTATGTTTGTTGTGGCTAAGGTGATAAGGTAACTATGACAAAAGGAAAGGGGTGGATAAGGTGACTATGACAAAAAAAAGTGCGGTTATGGGATCCCCTTGTCTCACCAATCTCTATAGTGAAGCAGGGTTGGATAGGTGACCATTGACAATTATGTTTGTTGTGGTTGTCCGATGGAGGGTGTCCACCTATCTTCAGAAGTTAAAACAGAAAACATGTGGCAAAATTTTATCTCGTGCAAGTTGGAACAAGCATTTGACGAGGTAGAGGGGTGCAATCGATTGCTTAAATTTTTCGTGGTATGTTTCCAACTATTTGTCAACAGGCGGCCAACATGCGGCCAACACGTTTTTTAACATGTTTCCGACACGTCCTGTAGTGGGACTTAGGTGCACGGTCCCTAGGAAGGAAGTTCACTACCACATGCCTCTGATGACAGACGAGGTCTCGAGGGTGACAGGTGGCCTGTGGTAGTAACACCCCATCTTGACGTTACTATTGTTATTGGACTGTTGCTACTTGACGATAGACAAAGGTGAGGGTGCCAGAAACAGTGGCACGTGATAACTTGTGCCCAAATGCTTTCGACATTGTGATGCCCTGAGAACACAAGTTTGATGCTGACCGTTAAAGCACCAGTACACCACATATCGACCCACGGGTGTCAGCATGAAACCCGAACCACTTCGGAGGCTGCCGTTTTTTTTTTTTTTTTAACGGCGGCCTACGCCGCGCGGCGCCGCCGAGTTTTGCTTGTGGCAACAAAAACTTTCTGCAAGGCTGGGGCCGTGTACTAGCGGCTTAACCCACCACTATCTTTTACAGGCGAATGCAACATCCATCTACTAGGCTACTCCTAAAAAGTTGGGGATCGGGGCAGGGTTGGAGGCAGAAGAAAAGAAAATGAAAAAAAGAAGTAAAGGGAAAAAAACAAAAGAGTTTTGAATCCAGGGACATTGGGGAAGGCCCTCACGAAGTGGAAGTTGCACCAGTGCTTTGAGGAATGTATCTGGCCAGTAAGTGAGGAATGACATTGCTGTTGGTTCTTTTTTTTTCTCTCGTTTTCATGTCAATGTAGTGCCCTGCCAGCCAAGTAGGGCGTATTCCACACGTGGGCACTAAGGGCCCCTTTCGACACCACTTGAACTCTAGTATTGGAGCGAAAATCTACGTTCCACCCTTCCCTAATGACGACACCGATTCGTTTTCACATTCAGTCTCTCTAGTGCGTGCCCTTGAAACTCGAGTGCGGCCCCGGCAAAATCGCACTTGAGCTCAAGGTACCCCATGGAGGTACCTTGAGTTCAAGTGTCGGACCCTTGGGGCTGCCCAAAGCAGAGAACCTCGTGCCCTCCTGAAACAACGTGTCAGGGGTTGCAGACGCTGCTTCTGTTTCAAGTGCAGCGCTTTCAAGTGTTTTGTCTAGCGCACATGGAACCAAGAAAGACTGTAGTGAAAACTAATCGTGATTTTGCGATTAGGGTGGACTTGAGACTCTAAAGATATCTGGGACTGTGACTGCGGCGACTGGAAAACAGCCAACGAACTACGTAAGGCCTTGAAGTATTGTCACCACATTGGCCACAATGTAGATATAGTCATTGAGGCAGTGCCGTTGTCCTGGTATAGAACATTGAGGAGAGGCCCCTCCCTGCAGGAAGGAGACTGGATAGCAGTAAGAGGGACCTCTGATCAGGTGGGGAAGATACATATGACCCGGACACAAGACGTCCTTGTGGAAATGTATGCAATTAACAGATCAGAAGCAATGCGAGGAGGGCAAGATCCCTTCATCTGGCAAGGCAAAACTGACGTCTTTCGAATTAGGGTCCTTGGAGAGGGTGAGGAAGCCCACGTTTTTCAGCCGGACATCAGGATTCAAGACCTCCCCTTTGACCCTCTGGAATGGAAGTGGAAACCCACAGCGAGAAGAGCAAACCCTGCCGCTTCGATCAGCCTTCAAAAGCTGACTAAGAAATCCACATACAAAATGCTTAAGCCCAAACGCTACCTTAAGGACAGAATAATAGATAGGTGGGCAAAGCACCTCAATGTGGACGGCTCCCTTTTGACACCAATATCCTGGTTCCAAGGCCGGAAAGAAAAATCTGCAAAGATTACTTCTTTACTGTGGCAGATAGCACATCGATGTCTGCCAACTATGAACTGGCTGATTGATCATACAAACCTGGAACAAAAAGGCTGAGCCCTTCCCTGGTGCGCACGATGCTTGCGAACCTTCCCACCACGGAGGAATGCAGAAACCATTGTACATATCTTTATGCAATACCTGACAGTGCAACTAACGTGGTGATGTTGGGATAGAATTTGGAGAAAAATGATCCCTGACACCCCGTGGCCTTGGACCTGGAGGGCGATACTTTTAGGATATCGTTCTCAGGCCCAAGAGTTGTCCATATTCATGGAAAATGTGTTTAATTTAGGCCGTAGAGCGGTGCTCTGGGGGCTTTGGGGGCAACGTTGCCTCCTGGCCACGGAGGGCATGCAGATAGAAGGGCCCGAGGCCACAGAGCAGATCCAACAACAAATCCGGATGGAGCTTATGAGAAAGCGGCAAACCTTGAAGTGACACTGGACCTCTTTCAGACTAAACAGGATATTAGGAAGGCAGTCTCCTCCTGTGGGAATACAGAGGACCAGCAGCGGCAGGAGTTGGTAGAATGCAGGGAATACCGCCTCATCTTCAACGACTGGTCGAACATTGACCTTTCCTTTCCGCTCCGCCCCCCAACAGACTTCTCTGATCCTTTCCCGCCACACCCGTATTCCTTGATTGAGACAATTGTCTGAGGGTTTACATGAACGTGTGCGAACATGCATGAGTGTACATGGGTGTGTACGGGTGTGCCTGAACGTGCCTGAGTGTGACAGAGGTGACTGCATTGTTTGTGTGTGGGTACATTATTCCCTACCTTCCCCCCCTGGCACCATGTACCCCTTGTCCTCTCACCACGATAGATGACAAAACACCCCAGGGCTCCGGTGCCCCTCCCAGCTCTGGGGTGCTTTTGTTACAGTCTTCATGCCACAAACAGTGGCCCTATGCTCAGAAGTAGCCCACTCAGTTAATCCCCGAGGTATGTTGAATGCGACGGCTTCCCACCTGACTGAAACACAGCAGACTGATTACCAGAGGGGGACCGCCTCCTGGTAGCGGTAGGCTGCAACAAAAAGCAGCAGACTACTACTTTTTTCTTGACAAAAAGCACTTTTAATTTATTATATATGCTGGAAACCGTGTATAGCGTCCCTTACATCAATTACACACACTTGGCCTTGATTACGCCTTTGTCAAAGCGTGTATAGCGTGTATGGCTGAAGGACCATGGGAGAGCGGCATCGATTACGCCTTTGTCAAAGCGAGGATCTGCCTCTTCTCTGCCCCCTGCCAAGCCCTCCTGGCCCATCCTCACCATACCCCAGGTTGCTCTCTATCCCGTGGCTTGGGGCCGGGTGCAGCCTCCCTGTGTTCTTCCCAAACTGGAAACTGGTGCCTGTCTTTTGCTACCTTTCGTTTTCTTTTATTTGTAGACCGCCATTACCTTCGAGCCTTTTTTTCCCATGGACGATTCGTGCTGCGCGCCAATTTCAGAACGATATAGCTCATTTCTTTTCTTTTCGGCTGGTGCAACCAGGAACAGAGGTCTGGCCCCCGAAGAATGGGAAAGTTGACAACTTTGTCACAAAAAGGCACCCCGCTTTAAACCCCTTTAACCCCTTAAAAACCAAATTATACACCCCCCCCTCCCTCCTTGGCAACCAGCTCTTGAAAAAAGAAAGGAGAACCGACTAGGGTTCCTTTGGCCATGCTCAGGAAAACCTCCACCCAAAATAATAAAAAAGGGGTAACTACGGCGCAGTCATGTTTTCAATTCTAAATCCACTTCAGGCATACCTCGAATACAACACATCCCCACCCAACCCTAAAGCTGGGTCGGATACATTCACGATTTTCCTCGCTTTGGAGTAAAAGTTCACAAAACCGTGACTGAAACGCGTTTAGAATTGAAAACCTTGGCTGCACCCTAGTTTTTCCATAAGTAAATAAGTAAGATGGGCTGCTGTTTGCCTGCACGGGGTTGCCCGTGCAGGTGACCCCTGGGCGGCTTGTGCGGGTTGCACGGCCAGGCGAGCCTCACGTAGCCTACCACAAAAGTTCGCCTGTGGAAGGTACTGGTGGTTTGAAGGACGAGTACATGTCCAAGCCTCTTTCTGCCATGGTAGATTCACAGTGCACGCCAAGATTTGCCGAACCACCGGGGTGCCCGCAACCACTGTCTGGTCAGGTCACCAGGTGCCTGCGACCGCTCTGTGGGCAGTTCACCCTGCCAAGGTGGTGAAGGGTGACGGTCCTGGGTGGTTCACACTAGGGCAGGACAGGGGGGTTGCATGGTCCGGTCTGCTCCTTGTGCGACACGTCAGGGCGGTTTCTCCGTCATCTGACGTGGCCTCTGAGTTGACCAGTGGCGCGCCACGTGGCGTGCTATTTGCGGATCTCTTTAGAGGGTGAGGTCAGTAAGGAGGGGTGTTACTGGGTGTGTGTAGAGGTGTGTGACATGGGGAGAAACACACGAAGGGGTGAGAACCGAGTGGAGATTGGCGATGGCGTGTCCGGGGGAACTGGGAGCGGATGCGTGGCTTACTACCGTTCACGCGAGCACTGCGTGTGTACGCCAGGTGGTGGCGAAGCTGCGATCGGCTGTTGTGGAAAGGATGGTGCCGTCAATCTCGTGGATCCAAAATGTGAGGGAGTGCTTAATGGAGGTCACATGGGGGCTGGAGGAGGGGCCGCCCCTCTACCTGGATGCGACAACAAGATGCCCACGTTTGGAGGACTTGATGCGGCGCTACTACGAGGAGCTTGAGGAGGGGCAAGCTCTTTGTTCTATGCTGGAGGATCGCGGCTATGACAACGACGATCTCGCCCATATCGCAGCTAATCACAATATCAACGACAACAATGACAGCAACAATGAGAGTAACAACAACAACGACGATAACAAAGATTCAGGAGAGTGTAACAGCGTCATCGATTCCCTCGAAGACGGCGACGACGTTCTTATCGAGGTGTTTAGCAGCAACGGCGACAATAACGAGAACAGCAGCAACGACGACAATAACAACAACAACAACATTGACGACAACAACAACAACAACAACAACAGCATCAACAATAGCGCCGACAACTGTGATTTCCGTGAAGTCAACGATGTCATATCAATCCAAATCATTCAGATCGTCGCTGGGAATGGTCGAGGGGTGCAGCGGGCTCCTCCCGCGAGTAGCGGGAAGCTTTCTGGGAAGGGGACTGTTCTGTGCATCGTCATGAGAATCCGGCGCTGTCTGTGCGGGTGAGATAGTACTGCGCGATGGGACCCGGGTGGGAGGGTGGTACGGTGTTACAGGGGCCTTGGGGAGGCCCATCATTTACCCTCCCGTGCTATCTGGAGGGCGAATTGGTATACGTGGAATCCCGCCCACCTGACTGTCAGCCTCCTTCTCTGATTTTCGCTACGACTGTCTTTCTAAATTCTCTGGCTTCTTATTTTGAACACCCCTCCTGTGATTCTGATCGATGGGTGTGATTTTGATCGATGCTCTAAACGGTTTTTCCCTATTCTGAATGCCTCTCCTCCTCAAGTACCTGTTAACAGTTGATGAGGGTTTCAGAGTACGGGTTCGATTTAGATTGTGATGGGCAGTTAATCCCCTCAACTGAGGGCAATCAATGCGGCTCATCAGTCAACGAAGTGTGTCTGCGTGTCGATTTAGTTGGCCACCCAGTTTTATAGTACGATGGACACGTGGCAGGTTATCATGATCCTAGTTTGCTTACATGATCCTGGTTTGCTTACAGCCCATTCGATTCCAAATGTCAAGGGACGCTGGACCCAGTTTCCAGCAGGTGTTGCTCCCCACCAATAGATGGAGCCTTCCCGAGCATGCT